GAAGCATAAATGATTGTTTGTAGTTTGTTCGCAAAGAATTCGCCTTCTCGGAGGTCCTCCAAGACGGCCCGTTTAACTGTCAATAGAGGATTGGTCCTCTTTTCAATAGCCAAAGTTGACGGCACCGTGCAGGCTGGAAGGCTCCAGGGACTTTTGGTGTTATCCCCAAAAGGTACGGAGACGCTGATTTCGTCTAATTGACGTTTGGAGCGCAGCATGCGTGCGCTTCGCATGGCCGCGCGCAATGTCTGGAGATAATCCCGCAGCTCCACATTGGTCTCTTCCTTGCCTGAATCCCTCTCATGCAGTCTCAAAATTTCTGCCACCAGACGCTCTGTGTACTCATGCCCCACGTACACCAAAACATCGTCCGCTGAGAACATTTTATTATTTGTCGGATGCGTTCGCATCCGATGACTAAAAAACAAATCCCGTGTCTGTATAACTTCATCAACGGTCGTCACCTCAAACATGGCACCGCAACCTCCACAGAAGATGCAATCTCCAGTGAAAAGTGCCAAGCGCTGTGGAACATCAGAATCCATGAGAGCATCTCCTAAAAGGAACATAACGGAGCCAACGGTGTGTCCAGGGGAAGAAAACACAGCAACCGTCACGCCCCCACCAGCAACCGTCAGCACATTGCCGTCCTCTACAAAGTTGGTACACGCATGAGGATTGTCAATTGCGGAACCATAAATCTTCAACTGAGCATCCAAGAGTTCTGTGATCTCTGCATCACTCTTGTTCTGTAAATGCTGCATGAACTCCAGATTCCCCCCAGCATGATCCCAATGTTTGTGAGTGGTAAGAATGTCCGTCAGTACGAATTCTACCCCGGTTAAGTATCGGACAACGGTCAGCATGTACATTACGAGTTTGGGGTCAGCTGGATCGACCACAGCACACTTTTTCGTCGCAAAACTCAAAATCAAGTATGCGTAATTGTCCGCCAGAAGAGGGACCGGAACTACTGCGACTCCTCTGTAGCCTTTCTTGTACTC